TGTATTAATGAATTAAGCAGAATAGAATTTAGCTTGAGGTAATCATGTTAATTGATGCTGTTAGGATAAGAGTTATGAATGATTAATTCACCATGTATTTATGACTATATTAACTGCATTTGACTTAGCTAGATTCATACTGTTAGTTAGAAATGTAATAAGAACATAATTGCTACACTACCCCCCAAGCCCAAATCTTTAACTTGCTATAATAAGGTTCATTTGCAGGTACAATACCCCACCTCACCTCTAAGAATCATTATTGTCCACTCCCTAGTGACCTTTGCTTCAAATCCACAACTTCTTTAGACCTTAGAATACTGTTAGTCAAACACCAGGGTCTTATGACCTGTAAAAGTTCAGAGATGTTGTTGAAAGGGTCTTATGACCTTTGGAAAGCCCCTGCTCAGGTAACCTGGAGTTGAGGACCAATGGAAGGTCTGATGACCTGTGAAAGGCCTGTTGACAAAATGGTTATGATTGATGGACATTTCCTTTAGCCAACCATAAGATTTCCTCAGTTCTGGAACTGACCAATCCATGAATTGTAACGCCTCCTTCTATTTTTAGTGTTCTAAATGTATAAAAGTAGCTCCCCAAGGGGAGGGATCCCTGAACGAGAGAAAGATCTTGGGTCCGACTAATTAGGGATCCCTGGACTCCCTAATAAATTAATCAACCATGCTTGGAGTTCTCAATGACTTTTGTTACAGATTAGAATTTTCTGGGCCACAATACCTTCTACTGCTTGTTGATCATTCAGTTAGTCAATAAGAACTCACATGTATCAGTGCTGCGTTAAGTGCTGGGGATACAAAGAAAGTCCAAAAAACAGTCACTACTCTTAAGGAATTTATAGTCTAACGAGGGAGTCAACATAAAAATAATTATGTACAAATATGTTATATTTCCCCCCCCAAAATATATATATATATGTAAGCTTCAACTACTGATGACAAAGGCAAGAACTTTGATTTTGATGGAAGGCAGATGGGAACAGTTAAAGTCTTTTTTGGGATGGTTAAGGATGAATATCAGGAAGAAAAATGACATTTCAGGTTGAGGCTGGGAAAATTACAATACTGCAGGTGCAATATTAATAATTTTTAGGTTGTCTCATGGGAGGAACAAGGTTGTATGAATTCTGGGAAAGCAGAAAAGAAATTATAGTAACTGACTGTCAGTTGGTGATTACCAACATAACAATAATTCTGATTCACATTTGGTAGGCAGGTTCATTAATGCAGAGTAGTTCAGGAACACATACCTGGTAAAATTTATGTGACCCGATGCAGAATGAAATGAACAGAATCAGAAGAATAATTTACAAAATGACTTTAATATTGTTACTTTTAAAAAGCTAGTTGTTTTTAACTGTGAAACATTTAAGAATTATGAGTAGTGCAATGACCAGTTATGTTCCCCTAAGCCTATTGATAAACCATGCTTCGTATCTTTTGGCAAAGAGGTAATGAACCAGTTAGGAGCTGCTAGGTGGCATAGTGAATAGAGTGTCAAGCCTGGAATCAGGAAGACCTGAGTTCAAATTTGACCTCAGGCATTTACTAGCTGTGTGATTCTAGGCAAGTCACTGAGACTCAGTTCCTCATCTGTAAACTGAGATGGAGAAGAAAATGGCAAACCACTGTAGTATCCTCTGCCAAGGGGTGAGGAAGAGTCAGACTTGACTGAAAAACGATTAAACAACAACAGTGAACCAGAGAAGAATGAGGCATACGTTTTCAGAAACAGTCAAAGCAGGGTTGGAGTAGTACAGGATAGTGACAGTGAAGAAGGAGGAGGAGGAAAGAAGGGAGGGAGGGAGAAAGGACTGAAGGAAAAAGGAAGGAGGGAAGGAAGTAGAAAAGGAAAAGAGCTTTAATGAATCAATAAACAGAAGAGAAGATAAGGAAGCTCTGAAGGGGACAGGGACAAGCAGGGTAGTAAATTTATTTACATTTAAATTTTATTTAATTAATTGTTATTTATTTATTTAATTATTTAATCAATTAAATGTAAATTTATTTACATTATTTACATTTAAAATTTGAATTTTTTTTTTAAAAACTGTTAGTTCTAACTAACTGTTAGTTAGAACTGAACATAAAACAACTGATTAGTTTAAGATTGGAAAAGGAGTATGACGAGGCTGTGTATTGCCTCCTTATTTATTTAACTTACATGCAGAGTATATAATGGGAAATGCCAGGCTGGATGAATCAAAAGCCTGAATTAAAGTTGCCAGGAGAGATAACAACAATCTCAGATATGCAGACAAATACCACTCTGATGGAAGAAAATGAAGAAGTAAGACACATGGGGGCAGCTGGGTGGCTCAGTGGATAGAGCACCAGCCCTGAAGTCAGGAGGACCTGAGTTCAAATCAGACCTCAGACCAAACACTTGACACTTACTAGCTGTGTGACGCTGGGCAAGTCACTTAACCCCAATTGCCTAAAAATTAAAAAAAGGAAAAAAGAAAAAAAAGAATTAAGAAGCATGTTGATGAAAGTGAAAGAGGAGAGTATAAAAGTTGGCTTGAAGTTTAATATCAAAAAAACCTAACATCCTGGCAACTGATTCCATCACTTCCTGGCAAATAAAGGGAGAATAAATGGAAGCAGTGTCAGATTTTATATTCTTGGGCTCAAAGATCCCTGCAAATGGCAACCATAGCCATAAAACTAAAAGACACTTGCTCCTTGGAAAAAAAGCTATGGCAAATCTGGACAGCATATTAAAAAGTAGAGACATTAACTTGCTGACCAAGGTTAGTATAGGCAAAGTATGGTTTTTCCAGTAGCAATATATGACTATGAGTTGGACTACAGGGAAAGCTGAGCACTGCAGAATCATACTTTTCGAATTGAGGTGCTAGAGAAGAGTTTTGAAAGTCCTTTGGACAACAAGGAGATCAAATCAGTCAATACTTAAAGAAATTAATCCAGGCTATTCACTGGAAGGTCAAATACTGAAGCTGAAGCTTAAATATTTTGGTCACATAATGAGAAGACAGGGCTTATAAGAAGACGCTCATGTTGGGAAAGATCGAAGGCAAAAGGAAAAGGGGATGGCAGAGTACAGATGGATAGATAATGTCACTGAAACAACAGACATGAGCTTGGACAGACTTCAGGGGATACTGATGAGGCAGAAGAGTGCTTGAGGCAGATGGAGCAAGCAGCACGAGATAGGAGATAGGATGAAGGATGTAATCAGCCAGAAAAGTGATCAAAGAAGACTTTGAAGCCCCCACCCATGGATTTATCTGTGTGCTTTCACAAAGCACCCTCCATGCCAGAACAATTCTTCTCCTCCCCTTTCCAGTTCTCTCTGCTTATCATCTCCCGACTACCTGACATCCCAGGCACTTTGGAGTCATGCTTACTCCACCCATTCTCTCGTCCTTTCCCCCCATTCCATAAAATTGTATTTAAACCATACCTTTGACCTAGCTAACCACCTTTGACTCCTGTGGGAAGCAGGGGCCTCTTTGTTTCCTTAGGGGAGCAGGGCCTTTGGTTTGTGCTCTGCTTCCCATGTGGAGTAGAGCCCACTGGGACTCTGCCTCATGGGGAGCAGATGCGGTTGGGTACGTCTTTAACTTGCAGACTGTCCGAGTGAATTCTTTCAGGACACTAGCACCTGTGTGTCTCTTCCTCATCATTTCAGGTAGCACTCCAACATTCTTGGGGTCCACCCTGAACTCATCACCCATGGCTACAGAGAAAGTCCAAGTGAATTCCTTCACACCTGAACCAGCCCTCCCAACTCTAAATTTAACAACACTACAGGATAGAAGGGCCTGGCATGCTGTGGTGCATGGGGTCACAAAGTCAGACATAACTGAACAACAACAAAATGTGGGGAGAGAGGCAAGACAAGTTACTGAAAACAAGAGTTCACGTTTTCATATACAATCCTGCCCTTTTTTTTGTTGCTACTCTTTGCATATTGAAAGGTTCCAGTTTGTAGAGTTTCTTTGTGGATTTTTTGTTTGTTTTGAAGAGATTTGAAGTTATTGGATTTACTACTCCCAAAGAGACTTTGGGTAAATCAATTAATTTTCAGGTCAAATTTTCTCTTTTGTAAAATAATGGAGTTGGATTAGATTAAATGTGAGGTAAAGCTCCTCACTAATAGTTTAAGATCCACCAATCTCCACACCAAAAAACCAAATAAAAGTTCACATTTTGTTCAGTTTGGAGAGTAGAATTGAGTTTCTCCTGCTTTTAGGTGGATCGATGGAGTTGGAGAAGGGTTGGAGAAAGTACTTCTGAGTACTGCCCTGAAAGGTACAAATCCTGTTTCAGGGATTAAATTTATATTTCTTTGGGCATACAGCAACAATAACAAAAGATCCTGTTATCACGGCATATGTATTTTTTTCCTAGGAATTGGCTTCATGGCATAATGACCCTTATAGCCTCTAAGTCCATCTCTAGTGTTGGGATTTGGGGAAAGAAACTATACCGTATTGTGAACTCCTTGAGAGCAAGGATGCTTTTGCTTTAATGCTGAGCACATAGTAGGTTCTTTTAAAAAATTTTTATTAATTCATTTTATCAACAATCACTTCCATAAGCTCACATAGTAGGTTCTTAACAAGTTTGCTAACTTGACAGTACGCAGAGCCGAGAGATCAAGAGGGACACCAGCTGCTAGGGGCTTCCCCAGCTCAGCACAGGTGAGGCGGGCACCGTGAGTGGAGCGCACCGCGGTCAGCACTGCTGCAGCTGCGGGGGATTCCGGAGCTCAGCTCCACTGAGGTGTGCAGAGAGCACGTGGAACGCAACAACCCGGAGCTGCGGGGAGGGGGGGAGGGAGGGGGGAGGGGGAGGGGCACTCCCTGGAGTCTCGGGAGCTCCAGCCCAGGTGGACGCGCCGGCGCGTGGGTGGAGCGCAGCGGAGAGACACGTGATCCCGCCTGCCCGCGAGGGGAACGCGAACGCATGCGCCCTGCGTTCTCTGCTTGTCGTGGGCGGGGCGCTTGGAGCTACCGCAGCCGCAGTAGCCGGAGCCGCTGAGGCCGCTGCAGACGTGGCTGTCTGGCCTCGTTTTGTGGGGAGCCAGGCCCAAGTCTCTCCTTAATGGCACTGAACGGCTTCCAGCGCAAGGTTAGTGCGGGTCGGGCGGCGAGGTAGAGACGCTAGCAGAGAGCCGGCGGCCGACTTCTCCAGGGGTAAGGCCTGATTTGGTTTGTCTCGGCCCTGGGCCTAACTCCACCTCCCCACCCCCCACCCCACAGGCCCTCGCGGCCTGGCCCGAACTTGGCGCCCGAAGCGCTGGCGCCGCTGCCCTCCTCCCCCGAGTCGCCCCACCCTTCCCCAGTCCCTCGCCGGCCCTCTCTCAGCGCGATTGCCGCCCCGCGGGCTTCTACCCGAGGGACGGCCCTTTCGGATTTGGGCTGGGACTTGCCCGCTTCCCTGGCACCACGAGGTTGTTGGGCGAGTCTCTACAGATGGCCGTCCTCCCCGCCCCCACCCTCCACATTTGAAAGCAACCGGGGATGGGGGCGGGGGGCAGGGAGCCACGACAAATCCTGCCCAGTTAAGGCTCAGTGGGTCTTCCAGGGTACAGAAAATCCTACCGTCAAGTCAATCTGCGAGCACGTTATACATCTACTGTAGTGTCAGGCACTGTGCTAAACCTTGGACCGTAAGCAGGCAGCAGCATTGTAAAAATAGGTCAAAGTCTCCTTATAATTTGGCAATTTCTGGTCAGGAAGAGAACTCAAACAATCATTTTGGAACCCGACTTTTCTTCCTGATAGTTTCAGAGCCAGCCTCAGTTTTTTTTTTTTTTCATTTCTACTTTGCAATATCAATCAGCAAGCACTTTTTAAAGTGCCTAATATGTGCTAGGCTCTGTTGATAATAAAGACAAAAATGGAAGTCCCATCATCTCAAAGAGTTTACGTTCAGTGATGAGTAGGGGATGAAGGGAGGAACAACACATTTTATATGCTGAAAAAAAGACAGTTTTTGGGGGGGATCAGGAAAGGCTTCATGTTAAAAGTGGAGCCTTGAACTCTGGATCTTAAGGGAAACTAGACGTTCTGAGAGTCACAAGTGAGGGAAGAAAGCATTCTGGGCATGGGAGACAGATGAGAGATAGTGTCCTCTATGAAGGATTGGTAAAGTGGCATTTGGGGCTGGACCTTAAAGAGTGTTGAAGGTAAGTCACATGAAGGCTGGAAAGAGGTTTTAAGGGTTTGGGTGCCAGACAAAAGAGTTTATATTTTATTCTAGAAATGATAGGAAATCACCAGTTTGTTGATGAGTGTGAAGTGACATGTTTGGACCTTCGATTTAGGAAAATCATTGTCTGTTGAATGAAGAATGGGTTGGTTTGGGGGAGGGGGCACAGACTTGAGACAGGCAAAACTGATTAGGCTTTTGAAATAGTGCAGGTGAGAAGTGATGAGGCCCTGAACTAGGATGGTGGTTGTGTGATTGGACAGAATGTGGGAGAGGTGGGAAGTGTTTTAGAGGTACAGAGGACAAGATTTGGCAACTGAATTGAGTTTATGGGGTCTGGAGAATGAGCAGAGTTGTTTGTGGAGTTGAGGATGACACCAAAGTTTTAAAAACCTTGGGTTACTGTAAAAATGATGATGTCACTAGAAATAGGGAAGTCTGGAAGTTGAGTATGTTTCTGGGGGAAAGATCTGTGTTGTTTTGAATATGTTAGATTCAAGATACTTATATGGAACATTCAGTTTGAAATGGCCAATAGGTGATTTATGGGACTGGATCCCAGGAGAGAGACTTGGACTGACTATATAGATCTAGGGATTATCTGCATAGAAATTAATTAAACCCACAGGAGCTGGTTGGTGAGAGAGCATAGAGGAAAAAGAGCCTTGAGATAAACTTACAGTTAGGGATATGAAATGAATGATAATCTAGCAAAGGGGACTGGATAGGAGCAGACAGGTAGGTGGACAACAAAGAGAGTGTCTAGAACTGAGAAGATGGTCAACAGTGTCAAACGCTGTACTTAGATTTTGAGGCTGAGGATTGAGAAAAGGATGTCAGGTTTGGCAGTTGAGATCATTTAGAGAGCAGTTTCAGCTGAGTGAAGAGATTTGAGGTGGGACTTTTCTTAGGAGCTTGAGAAATGGAGGGGAGGTAATAGGATAACCTGAAGGGGTGGTGGGATCTAGTGAGAAGTTTTAAGTTAAAAAGTAATGCTACCTTATTAACTCTGCTGCAAGTAGTCCTGTTAGGCAGTTTGGATAGTAGAATCAGGAAGATCTCGCTTCACGCCCTGGCCTCTTACACGTATTTGCTGTGTAACAATGGGTAAGTCATTTAACTTCAGTGCCCTAGGTGACTGAAATGAAAAGGCATGAAGTGCTTACTGTGTGGTGCTGTAAGTGAAGCTATTAAGTTGCAGCTACTGTTAACTTTTTATAAATTTTCTAATGTGTGGGACTTTTCCCTTTGTGCCCTTTAATAAAGATAAAATGGCAATAAGAAGTAAAGGTCTTATTAAATTTTATGAACCCAATAATCAACTCCATAATAATAGACTCTGGGGATAATAGGTGAGGTGAGTCGTTGATGTCGTAACTGGGGTGATAATTGAGACAGGAAGAATACAGTATTTTCTCTGTCTGAGGTTGTTCAGGCAGCATTACTAAGTAGACTTACTAATAATTATCCAGAAAAAAAAAAATAATGTAATTCTAACTTTATGGAAATGGAGTTTTCTTTATAGGATTAGAAGCAGTGGGTCCTTATTTAGAAACCTTGTGTTTGTCTTGCTAAAGTATAGAATTATTTTAAAAAAGGTTACTGAAGTTTCTTTCAGGTATTGTCAAAGACTAAGATTACTTCCTTTGCCTGTTCACCTTTATAATCTAATTTAAGTAACTTCTGAGGTGGTGGGATACTTTGTTTCATTGATGTATGTTTCTGGGTTTCCTTGCACTAATTTAATTTATTTCATTATAGTTTAAATTACTGAAGTTAATGTACTTAATCAGCTGAGCTAAGCGGGATCATTTTTGCTTACCATAATTTGAGACTTTTTGTGTTGTTGTTGTTGTTGTTTTTTTTGCTTAGGCAATTGGGGTTAAGTGACTTGCCCAGGGTCACACAGCTAGTAAGTGTCAAGTCTCTAGTCTGAGACTGGATTTGAACTCAGGTCCTCCTGACTTCAGGGCCAGTGCCTTATCCATTACTTGCTGTCCAATTTGAGACTTGACCTCCTATTTTGTTACATTAGTTATTTACACATTGGTTAAATTTCAGTCATTACCAGATGATCTCAAAGCTTTAAAGCCTTTGCTAGCCTAAACTGTGTTTGTTTTAATCACTGTTAACAAAGTAATCTGACCAAAAGTAATCTGGAAGTTTAGAATGCAAGAAGCCCCAATTTAGCATATATGTATTTATTTATTTTTTTGCCCTACACTTTTTCTACTTTCTAATTCATACTTGTGCTTCTCCTTTCTTTCTTTACCCATTTGTTTATTCTTACGTCCTCCACTCTCCCACTGGGGTGGGATTGGTGGTTAAGGTGGGGAGAAGGGATAGTAGTGATTCTAGTTAGCTAGTGTTTAACAACAGCAACCAAAAAAAGGCCAAACTCTATAAACCTTTTGACATATCATTTGGGTTAAGAGTGTAGGGGTATGCGTGTATGTCCTTTTTCATTTGAATGTTCTTATGGGGATTTTGGAGTTGCATATTAGAAAAAAAGGTTAAGATTTCTAGATTCAAGTTATTTTTCCAAACACTTAAAGATCCAAAATCATAGAATCTTAGTATTAAAAGGGACTTTAGAGATCATTAATTAAAGATATATTCAATTTATCTGGAAACTAAGCTTATAAAATTGGTTATCAGCCCTGGGACTAAAAATTCATGTTTCCTGACAACGAGTCCTTAGTCTCCTAATATTTAAATGGTGCACAATCTGCTTCTGAAAATAATAGATAAAATTTGCAAAAAAGTTTTTGTTAGCTACAGGGGAATTTTCCCAGAGAAATTTCTTCCCCCTTCCTGCCCACTTTTTAAAGAAATGTAACTCATTCAAATCATCCTAAAAAGCCCCTTAAAATTCTAAATTGGCAAACAAAGTTATTGTTGAATCAATATCTAGTGTTTGTCATGGCTAGCACATTTTTTAGGTAGGTCAAATTTATTATACTGTGGGAAACATTTCAAGTGCTTATTATGGCTGACTGACATTTTAACAAGCATTTATTAAATCTACTTTTTGTCAGGATACTTTGTGTAAGGAACCGAGGATACAAGGACAAAAACCTTAACAGTACCCACCTTTAATAAACTTAACTTCTACCAGAGGGAATAGTTTGTATATAGATAAGTAAATAGAAACTATACACAAAATAAAAATAATTTAGCGATGGGGATGGAAGCACTAATGGGGGGAGAGTGAGAAAAAACCTCTTAAGTGGCACTTGAACTGAATTTGAAGGGAGTTAGGGATTCTAGGAAGCAGAAAAGATGAAGGGAGCGTATTCTAGGCATGGGCAGCCTGTGCAAATAGGACATGATATGTAGAAGGAAAGAACAAGCAAAACGGTTTCAGAGTCTTTGAAGGGGAATAATGTGAAATCAGTCTGGAAAGACTGATTTGAACCAGCTCATTAAGGGCTTTAAATGATAGTTGGAGGCTGCTATGATGGTTCAAGTGATGGTGTATAGAAAGAAATAGGTTGGTTGTAGTATGTGGAAAGACAGGGGTGGATGTGAGACATGTCCTGTAGACAGGACAGACTGATGCTTAACTAGCTTGTTGAACCAGTCTCACATGATTCCTTAAGATGTAGCTATTTTTTAGTACCTTGAAATCTCTTATAATTAGTATATACTTTGTAAGACTGCTGCAAATACAAGAGCCTCTTTGGTATACTACAGCTTTGGAACACAAGTCAAGAAACTTGGCTTCTAGTCATAAGTTCTTAGATTTTGAGCTAGGAGAAAACTAAAATGACCTTACAATCCAACCCCACACTTTCAGGAGGATGTGAAGAGAACATAGGGTGCAGAGATGTCATGACTTGTCCATGACTTACATACATGTAATATGGTTGGGATTCCAATCCATGACCTCTGGCTGCAAATATAGTGGTATTTCTCCTTTACTGTGCAAAAGGTGTTTATATTCTGCCACATACTATGTAAGTTTGGGCAATGTGGCATAGTGGATGGTGGACTTGGAGTCCAGCTTGAGTTCAGATTCCTCCATATTTATTGTGTGACAACGGGCAAGTCAGTTAAGTTCTTTGAGCCTGAGTTTTCTTATCAGTACATGTGGACAGTCTACTTCATGGTACCTACCTTACAGGTATATGAAGTTCAAATGAGGTAATACATTTCATTTGGGGTTGGATTAAGTGGTCCATAGGAGTCAAGTCCAGTTTGACTTGAACATAGTTTTACAATTTTAAATCATGATGTTTTATGGTTTTTTTATTTATCTTTATAATATTATTGTTCATATTTGGGATTTATAAGATGCCAATCCTCAGTCGGGAATTCTACCCTCAACTATTTGTTGTTGTCCAGTCATTTTTCAGTCTTGTCAGACTCATGACATTTGGGGTTTTCTTGGCAAAGATAACTAGGGTGGTTTTCCATTTTCTTCTCCAGATGATTTTACCGATGAGGAAGGAGAGGTAAACGAGGTTAAGTGACTTGCCCAGGGTCACCCAGTTTGAAGCCAGATTTGAATTCAGGATAATTAGTCTTCCTGACAGCAGGCTTAGCACTCTATCCACATCACACCGATCTGCCCTAACTGTAATTATAGAGCTGTCCACAAGTGGTGTACGGAGTGTTAAGGGATGTCAACAACATACATTGTTCCAACAGGGAACTCTGCTTCTAATTTCCAGTTTATCATATATATATGTATGTCTTGTTTGGACGTAGTTGTTTTCATGTTGTCTCCCACTTAGATTATGAAGTAGAGGGCATGGACTTTTTGCTTTTCTTTGTGTCTCTAGAGCTTAGCATGGTGCCTGGCACATAGTAAGCAATTAATACTTACTGACTTGACTTCCCACAGTAGTATATTCCTTTTACTGTCCCTTCATTTTTTCTCATAAAAACTCCAGAAAAGAACCAATCCACCCCCAGGATCATTGTTTTCTATATTTAACAACCTCAGGGAAATGGAATGCTACGTGTATATGTTGAGTGCATGAAGGGGAGTAATGTAAACCTCAAAAAAATAGGTTGAACTCAGGTTGTGAAGTCCTATAAATGCTAAACAGAGGAGTTTATATTTAATCTTATAGGAAATAGGGAACGACTGGCATTTTATTAAGTAAGAGTGATAAGGTCACTCAAGCATAAGATTTCTTAAGCATAAAGTAGCTTTGTAAAAGATGGATTCAAGCAGGAAGAGATTTGAGGTGGTAAGCAGACCAGTTAGGAAGCATTGCAACTGTCTTGGCCAGAAGTAATGAGGGACTGAAATAAGCTAACATCTATATGGAGTAGCAGGATGGAATCAGATACAAAGATATTGTAGATATAGAAATGACAAAATTTGGTAAATGGATATTTGAGTTGTGAGAGTGAAAAATAGAGGGTAATGCAGAGGTTATACAAACCTGGGTGATGGGAAGAATGATATTTTTGGTAAAGAGAAGTCTGGTAGTGTGGATGGATTTGGGACTAATCATTTCCCCCCTCTGGTTCTCAGTTTCCCCATTTGTAAAACAATTATTTAGCCTACCCTTAATAGCAGTGCCTGGTACACATAAGTATTTGTGGATAGAACAAATGATGAAAAGTTGTATTAGCGTTGTGATTTAGAGCAGCACTTTTAAAAAAAATTTTATTTATTTTGAGTGAGGCAATTGGAGTTAAGTGACTTGCGCAGTCACATAGCTAGTGAGCCTTAGGTGTCTGAGGCCAGATTTGAACTCGGGTTTTCCTGACTCCAGGGCTTGGTGCTCTATCCACTGTGCCATCTAGCTGCTCTTAGAGCAGCATTTCTTAAGCTGTGGGTCACTACGCCATGTAGGGTTGCATAACTGAATGTGGGGGTTGTGAAAAATTTGGCAGCAGTAAAAGTTTTCTGAACATGCAATGACTAAAAATTATCAAGCACAATGAATCCAACGTGTTTCTGGCAGCCCTTCCTCATGTTGCATCATGTGACTTCACTGCAGCCTTGGTTCTGAACACACAACACATGGCAATTTGCACTGTGCATGCTGTCATACCACACAACCACAACAAATGTTGCCAGAAACACCTCAGTTTAGATTCGAGACTACTGTCTTTAATAAATAGTAAAATTATATGTATCCCAAAGAATTGTTTTAAAATAAATTTCTTTATGATTTATTATCAATAAATGTTTGATTTGTATAACTATTTTATATACTTATATACCCAGGGACATGTAAAAATTTCTTGGGCCAAAAGGGGTCACAAGTGGAAGAAGTTTAAGAAGCACTGATTTAGAGAATAATTGGGTGTTGAAGTTGTATATTTCTTTTGCATTTAAGAAGACTAGTTGGAGGGGGTTGATTGCATGTTGGGGCTATTTTATTATCTTTTGGAAGATGGTGATTTTTATTGTATGTTTTCACAGGTTATTGTTTAACAGAAGACAACATCAACAGCTATGCAGAATTCTACTCACATGGATGAGTACAGCAGTTCTAGCAATGGCAATGCAAGCAATGGTTCTGAGGTAGCCATAGAGCAACCCACTGATTTCAGTACTGAGATTATGAATGTTATAGAGATGGAACAGTCACCTGATGGCTCTCCTAATGTGAATGAAGAAAATACAGAGGAAAATGAAATTTCAAATGTAGAACTGCCAGTGACAGACACTGAAGCACAATTTCCTCCAGAATATGAAAAGTTTTGGAAAACTGTAGAAAATAATCTCCAGGATTTTACTGGCTGGGTATATTTGCTGCAATATGTAGAACAGGAGGTTAGTAATTATTTAAAATTAAGAATAAATGGGGAGGCATAGAAAATATTAATTTTATCAGGCAGGTTCTTATTCTTAAATATTTTTTTGTTTCAGATTGTTTTCAGACCTCAATGAGACTATTTTTTAATAGTGTGATTTGCCTAAAGATTCTTGTCTAATCCTTGCATTTTGGTGTAGGACAAAATAGAAATTGAATTAAATCTTTAATAATGTGGATATTAGAGAAATGTTTCTAATACCATCTTACAGGAAAAGAATACTAGCTCATAGCATAAGTATTATGTTATTGAAAGTTAAAATGTGCTCACAGTTAGATTTAATGGCTTCTCTCTCAGTCAACAAGCGTTGTAGTTGCACAAGTATGGTCATCAGTAAATGTGCTTTAGATTTTAAGCTTGTTTCATGAGAGGCAACTTGACTTAGTAAGATGAAGATTGGCTTTCGATACAAGAAGACTTAACTTTTGAATTAATCTTTAAATACTTAATATGCTTCATGAGATTGTCATGAGGATCAAATGAGATCATGTTTATATACTGCTTTGTAATCTTAAGCACAGTGTAAATTATTACTTGGCACTTCTTTTAATCCATTCCTTTATTTTTATTAAACTATTATTTAGATGAGCATTTTCTAATATGTTATTTGATAAATTGGTTTGTGTTCTTCATGTAAGAAATAAGATTTTCAAAAACATTCTGCTTGTGTTTTTTTTTCTCCCCATCAGAATCACTTGCTGGCTGCCAGGAAAGCATTTGACAAATTTTTTACACACTACCCATATTGCTATGGTTATTGGAAAAAGTATGCAGACCTTGAAAAGCGCCATGACAACATTAAACAATCAGATGAGGTGCGTACATCACAGAATGAAGTTAACACCATTAGGTACTGTAAGCCAAATAATAACAAAACACTTTTTTTTTTTTTTGGCTGGCAGTACCTACCATATATGCTCAAATAGTTTAATAGGGTATTTTATTTGCATTTGTCACTCTTGTGGCATTTGTAGCTAATATTTTCTCTCTTTGTTGGCAGGTGCGTAAAACCTCAACAGTTTGTCAAGCTTTGCAGTGCAAGCCTCTGTATTACACTGCAGCTTAACAAGTAGGGCAGGGCTTTTCTCACTTACATTTATTTCTCATTTTCCAAATAATATAGTTGGTTTGCTAGTCACATTTGCTACGTCTTATTGCATTTTTGGTCAGACGCTGTCATTGATGCTCTAATGGGTCTGTGCCCTATGGTCTGTACCCCAAAGCCTGCCCACACAACCCGGTCAGAATGCAGGGACTGCTGCGCTTTGAAGATCAAGATTCTGCACGTGGGGATCAGAACATTGCCATGTTCTATCCAACCTCCACCCAAATGGTAATGGTAGATTATTTAAACAAAATTCCAGTAATTAGTATTTCTAAGGTTCACCGGATAACACAGTGTTGCCTCTCTTTTAATAAATAAATAAATATTTGAAGTACAGTTTGTTGTTTTCTTCTTAGGTTTATCGGCGAGGGCTTCAGGCAATACCTCTTAGTGTTGATCTTTGGATTCATTATATAAACTTCTTAAAAGAAACATTGGACCCAGATGATCCTGAGACAAATAATACAATAAGAGGGTAGGTGAAATATAGATGTTATTTTCTTGCCGGGAGTAGGGGAGGGGGTTTAGACTTTTCTGCATTTCATTGAATTTTTTTATGCCCTAGCATGTGGTTGGTTTTTATAAAGGTATGATGTAAAGTTGAATTCCTTTCAGTTCTCATTCAGTTGTTGATACAGAAATTTATTTTAACTAATTTTTGTAAAATTCTGTTCTGGTCCTTCTTTTCTATGTTTTCCCGCCATCAGCTCTTATTATAATTTTTCCTCTTTTTGCCCCCTACCTCCTGCTTTACAAAGGGGGAAAAAAAATCAGAGAAAGAATAGAAATGGGATCTACACTTGTAATTTGCCTTACTGCCTCTTTGCCCAGACCTTGATCGTTGGTTCTTAATTTATTACTCTACTTTTAACCTCCCCTCCCCACCTTTTATAATTATATTTATGTAGTTGATGTTTTTTGACAGCCAGGTGGCACTTGTTTATTTTTCTGTTAAATTTGTCTTTATCTATAAGGGGCACATTGAATCCCCAACTCCTTAAGAGTTTTGTAGTTTATTTCTCCCTATAATTGATTAGATTTTCCTTTAAGTAACTTAAATGCTATGTCATTCAGTGCCTAACCTCTCAGTGATCTAAATAACTCCAAAAGTAGAAGTTGCAAAGAAGGTGCCAACCTTCATTTGTAGGAGTTGCCTTTCCTAGAGGTTCCCTATTCCAGTGAAATCACAAATCCATCCCGTTATCTATATCCCTGTTATCTTTGATGCCTTTAATCATAATTTAGTTCCTTGTCTGTTTCTTTGTTTCTGTTGATTTCCTTTGTAATTCTATGTATTTTCTTTTTTTTTTGCACTAAAAACATTATTTTGAGAAAAGGTCATTGATTTCATCAGACTGACAAAGGGATCTGTGACGCAAAAGGGTTGAGACACAAGTGGTAGTATCCTTCAAGGATTGCCTACAAAAATCCATTCATAGGACATTAAAACTAGAATTGAAATTGAGATCATATAGTTGAACCTCCTTTAAAGAAAAGATTGATATCTTCTGTTTTTACATTGTCTGTTCCCATGTATCCTTCACTACCCTTTCCTGGAGAGCCATTGCTCATACTAAAGAATTTTTAAAATGGGAAAAGGGAAATTACAGCTCATCAAAACATAATCAATATGTTGAAAAAAAAATTTTGACATGGTATGTAATATTTCATATAGAAAGACCATCTCTCCCCCCATCCTTCTGTAAAGGGGTGTAGGTGGGTTAGAGGTTGGGCAGTGGGGTTCCTTAATAGTTCTCGTTGAGGCCAAGTTTGTTCTTTATAATTTCACAACATCCATGTTCAGTTGTTTTATGGGAGTTGTTCTTTCCATTTCTGTTGATGTCATTGTACATATTATTTTCCTGGCTGTTCTTCATTTTGCATCAATTTATGTAAGTCTTTCCATTACATTTGTATACCACAGTCCAGCCATTCCCCATTGATGGACATCTAGTTTGTTTCTGGTTCTTTCCTATCACAAAAAGGGCTGCTGTAAATAATCTGGAGTATATAGAACCTTTTTTTTTTTTTTTGAAAATCAGTGACTTCCTTGGGTTATATATGTAGCAGCGGAATCTTTGGATCATTTTAGTACTTTATTTATATAATTTCACATTGCTTCCAAGAATGATTGGAATCATTGCAGCCACACCAACAGTGCATAGTATGTCTATTTTTTCCACATTCCTCCAACCTTGACTGTTCTTATCTTTTATTACCTTTGCTAATTTGCTGGATGTGAGGTGCCTACTTACCTCTTAACTATTCATTATTGGCTTGTGATTGCCATGTTTTGGATTCACTTGAGGCCTTATAAATTCTGCTCTAGGTCTTCATTTTAATTTTGTGAAACTTGTTTCACATCTTTTTTATTAATATATTGTTGAATTGCTTTCTAATCCATTCTGCTACCCTTTACTACATTAAGAGTTAAACCTATTTATATTCACCATTATGATTAATTGTATTTTCCCTCCATCAGCTCTTATTATAATTTTTCTTCTCTTTGCCCCCACCTTCTTCTTTACAAAGGAAAAAAAAAAAGGTGGAGAAAAAATAAGAAAGGGGATCTATACTAGTAATCCACCTGACTACTTTTTTTGCCTAGACCCAGACCATAGTTTCTTGCATTTTTTTACTCTACTTTTGACCTCCTTTCCTGCCACCTCATTTTATGATCATCCTTATGTAGTTGACATTTCTTGGATAGCTGGGTGGCATAGTGAATAGAGCTCTGGGTTTGGAATCGGGAAAACTCATCTTCTTGAGTTCAAATCTGGCCTCAGACACTGGGCAAGACCTGGGCAAGTCAGTGAACCCTGTTTGCCTCAGTTGCCTCATCTGTAAAATGAGCTAGAGAAGGAAATGGCAAACCACTGTGGTATCTTTGTCAAGAAAACTCCAGATGGGGGGCAGCTAGGTGGCGCAGTGGATAGAGCACCGGCCCTGAAGTCAGGAGGACCTGAGTTCAAATCCGGCTTCAGACCAAACACTTGACACGTACTAGCTGTGTGACCCTGGGCAAGTCACTTAACCCCAGTTGCCTAAAAAAATAAAAAAAAAAGAAAGAAAACTCCAGATGGGATCACAAAGGGTTGAACATGACTGAAATGACTGGAACAACAAAAGTTGATGTTTGTTTTGTTTGTGATTATTCCCTCCCTCTTAAATGTATCTTTCCATTTTCACTTCTTTACCTATTTCCCTGAATTTATTTGATTTCTACAATAAATTGTGTCGAAGCTCCACTTTTCCTTGTTCTAATAAAAATGAGGTTTTTGAGATGCTTACTTCTCACCCCTGTTTTTTGTAGTCTTGTCCAAAAAATTTGAGAAAGAAGTCCCTCTCCCCTTTTCTCCCTTAGTGTTTTCCTCTTTCCTTCCGTTTTCTTTTCTCTATTAAAACCTACAAAATAAAGCAGAACAATACCCCACCCAAACTGTACTTTTCTCTTTATTTTCTCTGTGATCCTTTAAGACAGTTGGGAATCCAAAGAGCCAATTGTTTTTTTTTTTTCCCCTCGGAATATAATCACTGGATCATCCCCCAGACCAGGAGTGGGGAGCCTGCAGCTGTGAAGCTACGTGTGATCCTTGGCTGCAGCCTTTTGACTGAGTCCAGATTTTACAGAACAAATCTTTTTATTAAGGGGATTTATTGTGTGAAGTTTGGATTCGGTCAAAGGACTGTACTTGAGGACCTAGAGGCCCACGTGTGGCCGCTAAGCTGGAGGTTCCCCACCCCTGACCTTGACCTTTCTAGTTGCTGAACTGCATTTACCTATTCTCATTTTCCCTTGTCTCCTATGCTTGTACTTGAAAGATTCCGCTTGTCTCAGGTCTTTTTGTCATGCTTGAGAGTTCCCTTTATGGTTTATTGTTATCCCATCCCCTTCCTTTTTTTTTTTTTATTTACCTGTGCAAGATTACCCTCAGTTTTGCAAGTTAAGTTATTCTTGGTAGTTATACCTTTTCTTCTGCCTTTTAGAATGTCATATTCCAAGATTTCCTTTCCTTTTTAACTGTGGCATTGTCTTGTGTGACTCTGAATATGGTTCTGTGGTACTTTAATTTTTTTCTTTTTTAGCTGTTTTCACTATTTCTTTAATCTGGAAGCTCTGGATTTTGATATAATGTTTCTGAGTTTTTTATTTGGGACTTCTTTCAGGAGTTAACAAGTGGAATATTTCTATTTAAGTTTGCCCTCTGGTTCTAATAGTTGTGAGCAGTTTCTTTTATGATTTTTTTGAAATGTGGTATCTTTTTTGGTCATATTTTTCATAAAATCTGATGATTCTTTTTTAAATAGTATTTTATTTTTTTCCAATTACACGTAAAGACAATTTTTAGCATTCATTTTTTTAAAAAAAATTTGTGTTCTAAGTTTTTTCCCTCCTTCCCCTCCCCTTCACTAAAATGGTAAGCAATTTGATACAGATTATACATGCAATCATGTAAAACATTTCCATATTAGTCATGTTGTGAAAGAAGAAACGAAAGGAAAAAATGCACAAAAAAAATAAAATGAAACTAGTATGCTTCAATCTTCATTCAGACTCCATCAGTTCTGGATGTGGATAGCATTTTGTATCATGAACTGTTTGGAATTGTCTTGGATCATCATATTGCTGAGAAGAGCTAGGTTATTCATAGTTGATCATCATTACAATATTGCTATTACTGTGTGCAATGTTCTCACTTTGCATCAGTACATGTAAGTCTTTACAGGTTTTTCTGAAATCATCCTGCTTGTTATTTCTTATAGAACAATAGTATTTCATGACATTCATATGCCCCAGCTTGTTTAGCCATTCCCCAGTGATGGTTATCCCCTCAATTTCTAACTCTTTGCTACCATAAAAAGAACAGCTCTAAATACTTTTGTACATGTAGGTCCTTTTCCCTTTTTTATGACCTCTTTGGGATAGACTCCTAGTAGTAATATTGCTGGGTCAGATGGCATGTGCAATTTAATAACCCTTTGGGCCTAGTTCCAAATTGTTCTCCAGAAGGGTTGAATCGCTTCACAACCCAACCAATAGTGCATTAGTGTCCCAGTTTCCCCACATCCTCTCCAACATTTATCATTTTCCTTTTCTGTCATATTAGCTAATCTGATAGGTGTGAGGTGGTACCTCAGAGTTGTTTTAATTTGCGTTTCTCTAATCAGTAGTGATTTAGAGCATTTTTTCATATGAATATAGATAGCTTTGATTTCTTCGTCTGAAAACTGCCTATTCATATCGGTGGTCAACACTGATTCTTAAATTACTTTTTCTTACCTCCAAGCCAGTTGTTTTTGATAGTAGATACCTAATTTGTTCTCTTTTTTTTTTTAACTTGTAATATTTTGTATAATTGAATGATTTTTCAAGGGTGTTTATTAAATGCTTACCCCAGGGATACAAATAGAAAAGGAATGAAGGTTATGTTATTCTAATTCGTAATAGTACAAGTCCATAAAGTTACAGGTGAG